AAATCCTTAACAAATCTGCGAAAGTAGGAACATAAACCCAGGAAACTTTGCAACGAATGTCGATTATCTGGTAACGGAAAATCTCTAATTGTCCTCAACCCTTTATCATCAGCCCTAATACCATGCCCATCAATAGTATAGCCCAAATATTTAACCGAGGTCTGAAAAAATTCGCACTTGTCCGTCCGCAATTCCAAATTAATATCAGCCAATCTAATAAACACTTCCTTCAAAATTTCGAAATGCTTATCCTTATCAGCCGTCGCAATCATAATATCATCCAAATAAATTACCACCTTACCATCCCTAATCATATCGGAAAAAATCTTGTTCACCAATCTTTGAAATACCAACGGCACATTTTTCAAACCAAACGGCATTCTCAAAAATTCAAACTGGCCTAACGGAGTCACAAATGAAGTATACTTTATCGAATGGGGATGAACAAACACATGAAAGAATCCATTCTTCAAATCCAGCTTAGTGAAAAATTTGCATCCTGAAAGTCTATCCAACAAATCATCAATAAGGGGGATTGGGTAATTGTCCTTCATAGTTACCTTATTCAAAGTCCTATAGTCCACGCACATTCTCAAATCTCCCGTCTTCTTTCTCACTAAATCTATTGGTGAAGCATACTCCGATTCACTCGGCCTTATGTACCCTTTATCCAAATACTCATCCAACAATCCCTGTAACTCCATTTTCTCAGTATAAGATAATCTTCTAGGCGCACAATTAAAACAATTTTCATTAGTCAACTTCAATTTAATTTCGTTATACACCCTAGGTTCAGACTGACGTGCAGGTTCCAAATAATAATCAGGAAATAACCGATCCAATTTAATTCCATCATCAATCCCAATAGCATCTCCTACAATCAACTCCGTAGCACTATTCACCCCAATATCAATAGACAAAATATCCCTCCCAAAATCCTCATCAATGTCCGAGTCTATACGCTCGGGATAAGTCACCAGTCCAAAACCGGCTTTTCGCGGGAAATCCCTGCCCAATATACATTCGACAATGTCGTCTCATCAGACACCACAAGCATCTCAAAATCTATAATCCTGTTCCCTACCATTACATAACACTTAAATCCCCCATAAACATTCAATTTAGATCCATTTATTCCAAAAAAATTCCACGAGAACATAAAAGATTATCCAAATTCATAAATTTCTTAATACTAGACCTTCTGACAAAACTGACCGCACTACCCGAATATCCATTAAGCATTCTAAAGAAAATTTACATTTAAAATCAGAATCAAATCAGAATCAAATACCTTACATATTCATCCTCAGCTACATGTTGTACAGCTTTCTTTCTCTCGGTGCAATCAGCAACACGGTGGTTCATACTGTTACATCCGTAACAAGCTCCCATTTGTCGCTTCGGCTTTTGACAATCTGCAGCACAATGCCCAATCGAATTGCAATTGTAGCATCTAAACTTATTATCCTACTCTTCGTATGACTGGTCACCCTTTCGACGGAATTGTTTTGGTTGTTTCAGCTCGATTTTTGAAAAAGCCTGTAGGAGCTGCGTCTTACTCGTATAACATTGCAAACTAGCTTGTATTCTCAATTGATAATCAGGGATACCCTCAATAATTTGGTCAATGAGCTCATCATCCTCAATGCCAATTTTACCGGACAGTATAAACTTCTCGTTATAATAATCAATAAAGTGCTCCTCATATTTCCATTTGCGTGCTTCAAATTTTTGTCGCATCATTAATTTGTTCTCCTTAGTACAGAAATTTTTCTTCAAATGCTCCAGAATATTTTCTGCACTTTCATTCACAAAATTTGGTTTTAAGTGCAACCATATTTGGGCTTTTCCCTTTAATTTACACATCAATAAAGTTTTAATCGTACATTCATCCGCATTGTACGCCTTGGTAATATTTTCAAATTGATCAATCCACATTTATGGAAGCATTGCATCATCATATTCTGGAATAATTTCCTTCAAGATATTGAATGACACTTTCATCTCATTTTTTATGGCTTTACTAGTTGTGGGCAATTCTCCTTCAGCTATGTACTTCTCTGCATCTTCTGCCCTTTCAACCGTTTGACGTTTTTTCTCTGACTCCACGATCAATTTCAAAACTCCTTTTCTCTCTTTATTAAATCCAGTTCTTTTCTCAACAGATCACTCACAAAATTACGCATTTCAACGTTTCCGGTAACTACTCTATCATTAACCTCATTTTGTTGCATTCTATCATTTTCCTTTCCACACTCATTTTCACTGGTATTACGATCATTATTATCCGGACGACTCTCATCTTGCACCTCCACACAATCATTATCACCTGGGGGTTCATCTGCTTCCATAGGACATTCGCCTCTTTTATCAGCCGGTACTTCGTTCAAGCGAATCAACAGTGTGCTTTTAGTACCGGTTGATGGAAGACCAAGCTGTTGCAGCCAATGACGCAACTGGGAAGTTGTATATCCTGTTCCACACACACTATCCATTATAAATTAACCAATGTGCAAATTTTGTCTCTATATAACTACTCTATCATTAACCTCATTTTGTTGCATTCTATCATTTTCCTTTCCACACTCATTTTCACTGGTATTACGATCATTATTATCCGGACGAGTCTCATCTTGCACCTCCACACAATCATTATCACCTGGGGGTTCATCTGCTTCCATAGGACATTCGCCTCTTTTATCAGCCGGTACTTCGTTCAAGCGAATCAACAGTGTGCTTTTAGTACCGGTTGATGGAAGACCAAGCTGTTGCAGCCAATGACGTAACTGGGAAGTTGTATATCCTGTTCCACACACACTATCCATTATAAATTAACCAATGTGCAAATTTTGTCTCTATATATTTATTTTCACTTAGAATAATTCGCTTTTCCTTGAGGTACATACCTCAAAAATTTTCCTTTTTCTCGATCCCACTTCTGATTTGTAAGCGTCAGGAAAACACAACGTTTTGCTTCAAGTTTCAAGTTTTATTCAGAATGATCATGATTTACAAAAATGTTCACTTAACAACTAAAACTTAACGTATTTTAAACGAATACATATACCTTATCAGCTTAAGAGTGAAAGAGACAAATATATTCAATAAGAGTAAAGTCTATATAAAAAATACAAATTTACAAAAAATAGAAAACCGTTAGCTTAAAGCATACTATACAAACATATAGAGTAACATAACAAAGTAAATGAAACAAGAAGCATTAGTAGGATAACAAAACTTAAAACAAAAAGAGATAAGGGTAGTCGGCCAAAATAAACAAAAGCGAACTATAATAAATACACTCAAAAAAATACCCTGTAGTACTATACCAAATATCCCACTATATTTTTATAACTTTTGTATATACGTAGGACCTTGATTATCCGTGATTCGATTATCCGGCAACATATTATCCAGAATGGAAAAATATTTTTTTTACCATCGACTTAATTTTATTTTGGATTGACTTAAATTTTTCTGCATCGTTTAACCGTGATTACCTTTGTTATCCGTGATTATAAGCAAAATTCTATTATTTTTGAACAACCATGCACAATTAGAACAAATAGAAACGAAAATACAAAATTGAAAAATAAGAGACCAACAATATTACATGATTATTTTTAGAAATTACTTAACATGAAATTCTTATCCACTCTTTACTGTTTTCTGACAAACATGTATGAATATAAAATCCTTGAATTATTTAGTTTTTATATAAATACCCAGCAAAAGTTACATGACAAAGATGCTGTTTAATCAGAGGTGCAAGTGATGACTAAGTGGTTCGATTTAGGTGAAACTTGCATGATTTTAACATTAGCGTGTCATTGGAGATCATGTGTTTATGCGAGAATTTCGAATAATCGAACCAATCGATGATTCGAAAACGATGTTTCATTGGTTCCAGCTATTTGTTTTGTATGTATTTTTGGAAGATATTTTAAATATTTGTAATATTATAACAAATATGGAAATATACATATATAAAATAAAATTAATAATCAAAAATATTTCTAATAACACATAAATTTCATTTGATTAAATTGACAATCTGAATAAATTTTTAAAGTTTAAAAGGAACTTTTTTAATTGCGGAATAGGTTCAACTTAGAAAGGCATTTAGAATGAGTTGGATTAGCACTGTTATTAAAGAAGTCATGAAACTTACATTAACTTTGCACCACTGCAAAATTTTTTTGCAGGGTATGTACATATTCATTTATTGATTAATAAAAATTTCAATTAAAAAACTAGCCAAAATTGGCACTCAATTAACCGGGAAAATCGATTATACAGAATGATTCCGGGGGATTAACATCAGATTAAATTTATTTTTAGATTAACTAATCTAATTATTAATTGGCATTTGATTGCCAACTCAAAAACCCGATCTAAGTTCAAAATTGGAAGATGTCGTAAGTTGTCAACAAATGAAAGAAAAATGGCTCTTTTAATGAATCCTTGTTATTTAAAGCTTCTTTTAACAGCTTTAGAATTTTTCAAAGAAAAATTCCAATTTTTGAACATCTTTATGAAAATATCTCTGTTTTCATGCAGATGCATAAAAAATGTCGTCCTATTTGAGATACAAAAACTGCTTCAAATTAACGTACATATATATATTATATATATATATATGTACATATATGTATATATAAGGAATTTATATATATATTTTATATATATATATATATATATATATATATATATATATATATATATATATATATATATATATATATATATATAAAATATATATATAAATTCCTTTAAGGCCCATAATCTCAATATCCGATTATTTCTCCAATTAACTAACCGGCGCATTAATTATTCGTTGCGATATACTGTCGGTTATATATTTTGAATTTCTCATACAAAAATTACATTTAAATTTTAACAGTCACTTATGTAAGGTAACACTATAGAAAATTGAAGTTTTTACAATTTAAAAATAAAAATAATTTTCGAGAAGAAATTAATTTAAAAATATATGAACAATGTCACAAAACAATGAAAAACGACAAAGAGGTAAAAATTTCTCATTGAATGAGGAATATTTTCTAGTTGACCTAGTGGAGATACACAAATCCGTACTGGAAAATAAAAAGTCAGATGCAGTAACTTGGAGACAAAAAAATGAAACTTGGGAGAAACTTGCTTCAGAATTTGCAAGTCAGTCTGGGGTACAAAGAACGTGGAAAGCGCTACGCGACAAGTACGAAAATTTAAAAAGAAAGTCTAAAGTGGAAATAGCTACCGAAAAGCGTGAAACCTATCGAACAGGCGGGGGACCTACTGCTACGTCCATAGTTTCAAATATATCCGAAAAAATTTCTTGTCTTATTGGGGAATCTGCTACTGGCTTGTGTAATCCATCCATACGACAACGATGGTAATGGTATGATTATTATATGTATGTGATTTTATCTTAATTCCTTTAATGACAAATTAAACCAGCTAAAGTCAGATATCGACCGATCCAAATATAATTTTCTAGATGGATCTGTATTCCTGTAAAACTTCTTTCAAACTAATTTTAATGTGATACTGACATTTAAAGTCAATTATTTCATTTAAAGCATTTTGTGAATGGGTCCTTGTATGAGGCTGTGGCAAAGCGATCAATTGTCACATCACTTTACAATATGATTTCGAAAAATACCGCAGTACTATATTTCAGTACTTTTCAGCACTTAATCTAACTTGTAATCTTTTGTCAAATAATCAATAGACTAATACATAAATTTGTCCATAGTATAGTTGTGTATAATCTAGTCTGCAGTCTAGTCTATAGTCTAGTCTTTAGTCTAGTCTATAGTCTAGTCTTTAGTCTAGTCTATAGTCGAGTCTTTAGTCTAGTCTATAGTCGAGTCTATAGTCTAGTCTATAGTCTAGTCTATAGTCGAGTCTATAGTCTAGTCTATAGTCTAGTCTATAGTCTAGTCTATAGTCTAGTCTATAGTCTAGTCTATAGTCTAGTCTATAGTCTAGTCTATAGTCTAGTCTATAGTCTAGTCTATAGTCTAGTCTATAGTCTAGTCTATAGTCTAGTCTATAGTCTAGTCTATAGTCTAGTCTATAGTCTTAGTCTATAGTCTAGTCTATAGTCTAGTCTATAGTCTAGTCTATAGTCTAGTCTATAGTCTAGTCTACAGTCTAGTCTATAGTCTAGTCTATAGTCTAGTCTATAGTCTAGTCTATAGTCTAGTCTATAGTCTAGTCTATAGTCTAGTCTATAGTCTAGTCTATAGTCTAGTCTATAGTCTAGTCTATAGTCTAGTCTATAGTCTAGTCTATAGTCGAGTCTATAGTCTATTCTTTACTCTAGTCTATAGTCTAGTCTATAGTCTAGTCTATAGTCCAGTCTATAGTCTAGTCTATAGTCTAGTCTATAGTCTAGTCTATAGTCTAGTCTATAGTCTAGTCTATAGTCTAGTCTATAGTCTAGTCTATAGTCTAGTCTATAGTCTAGTCTATAGTCTAGTCTATAGTCTAGTCTATAGTCTAGTCTATGGTCTTTCTATAGTCTAGTCTATAGTCTAGTCTTTAGTCTAGTCTACAGTCTAGTCTATAGTCTAGTCTATAGTCTAGTCTATAGTCTAGTCTACAGTCTAGTCTATAGTCTAGTCTATAGTCTAGTCTATAGTCTAATCTATAGTCTAGTCTATAGACTAGTCTATAGTCTAGTCTATATTCTATTCTATAGTCTAGTCTATAGTCTAGTCTATAGTCTAGTCTATAGTCTAGTCTATAGTCTAGTCTATAGTCTAGTCTATAGTCTAGTCTTTAGTCTAGTCTATAGTCTAGTCTTTAGTCTAGTCTATAGTCGAGTCTATAGTCTAGTCTATAGTCTAGTCTATAGTCGAGTCTATAGTCTAGTCTATAGTCTAGTCTATAGTCGAGTCTATAGTCTAGTCTATAGTCTAGTCTATAGTCTAGTCTATAGTCTAGTCTATAGTCTAGTCTATAGTCTAGTCTATAGTCTAGTCTATGGTCTTTCTATAGTCTAGTCTATAGTCTAGTCTTTAGTCTAGTCTACAGTCTAGTCTATAGTCTAGTCTATAGTCTAGTCTATAGTCTAGTCTACAGTCTAGCCTATAGTCTAGTCTTTAGTCTAGTCTATAGTCGAGTCTATAGTCTAGTCTATAGTCTAGTCTATAATCTAGTCTATAGTCTAGTCTATAGTCTAGTCTATAGTCTAGTCTATAGTCTATTCTTTACTCTAGTCTATAGTCTAGTCTATAGTCCAGTCTATAGTCTAGTCTATAGTCTAGTCTATAGTCTAGTCTATAGTCTAGACTATAGACTAGACTATAGACTAGACTATAGACTAGACTATAGACTGGACTATAGACTAGACTATGGACGTAGCAGTAGGTCCCCCGCCTGTTCGATAGGTTTCACGCTTTTCGGTAGCTATTTCCACTTTAGACTTTCTTTTTAAATTTTCGTACTTGTCGCGTAGCGCTTTCCACGTTCTTTGTACCCCAGACTGACTTGCAAATTCTGAAGCAAGTTTCTCCCAAGTTTCATTTTTTTGTCTCCAAGTTACTGCATCTGACTTTTTATTTTCCAGTACGGATTTGTGTATCTCCACTAGGTCAACTAGCAAATATTCCTCATTCAATGAGAAATTTTTACCTCTTTGTCGTTTTTCATTGTTTTGTGACATTGTTCATATATTTTTAAATTAATTTCTTCTCGAAAATTATTTTTATTTTTAAATTGTAAAAACTTCAATTTTCTATAGTGTTACCTTACATAAGTGACTGTTAAAATTTAAATGTAATTTTTGTATGAGAAATTCAACATATATAACCGACAGTATATCGCAACGAATAATTAATGCGCCGGTTAGTTAATTGGAGAAATAATCGGATATTGAGATTATGGGCCTTAAAGGAATTTATATATATATTTTTTATATATATATATATATATATATATATATATATATATATATATATATATATATATATATATATATATATATATATATATATATATATATATATATATATATATATATATATATATATATATATATATATATATATATATATATATATATATATATATATATACATATATATATATATATATATATATGCACGTTAATTTGAAGCAGTTTTTGTATCTCAAATAGGACGACATTTTTTATGCATCTGCATGAAAACAGAGATATTTTCATAAAGATGTTCAAAAATTGGAATTTTTCTTTGAAAAATTATAAAGCTGTTAAAAGAAGCTTTAAATAACAAGGATTCATTAAAAGAGCCATTTTTCTTTCATTTGTTGACAACTTACGACATCTTCCAATTTTGAACTTAGATCGGGTTTTTGAGTTGGCAATCAAATGCCAATTAATAATTAGATTAGTTAATCTAAAAATAAATTTAATCTGATGTTAATCCCCCGGAATCATTCTGTATAATCGATTTTCCCGGTTAATTGAGTGCCAATTTTGGCTAGTTTTTTAATTGGAATTTTTATTAATCAATAAATGAGTATGTACATACCCTGCAAAAAAATTTTGCAGTGGTGCAAAGTTAATGTAAGTTTCATGACAAATCAAATTTTCTAGATGGATCTGTATTCCTGTAAAACTTCTTTCAAACTAATTTTAATGTGATACTGACATTTAAAGTCAATTATTTCATTTAAAGCATTTTGTGAATGGGTCCTTGTATGAGGCTGTGGCAAAAGCGATCAATTGTCACATCACTTTACAATATGATTTCGAAAAATACCGCAGTACTATATTTCAGTACTTTTCAGCACTTAATCTAACTTGTAATCTTTTGTCAAATAATCAATAGACTAATACATAAATTTGTCCATAGTATAGTTGTGTATAATCTAGTCTGCAGTCTAGTCTATAGTCTAGTCTTTAGTCTAGTCTATAGTCTAGTCTATAGTCGAGTCTATAGTCTAGTCTAGTCTAGTCTATAGTCTAGTCTATAGTCTAGTCTATAGTCTAGTCTATAGTCTAGTCTATAGTCTAGTCTATAGTCTAGTCTATAGTCGAGTCTATAGTCTAGTCTAGTCTAGTCTAGTCTAGTCTATAGTCTAGTCTATAGTCTAGTCTATAGTCTAGTCTATAGTCTAGTCTATAGTCTAGTCTATAGTCTAGTCTATAGTCTAGTCTATAGTCTAGTCTATAGTCTAGTCTATAGTCTAGTCTATAGTCTAGTCTATAGTCTAGTCTATAGTCTAGTCTATAGTCGAGTCTATAGTCTATTCTTTACTCTAGTCTATAGTCTAGTCTATAGTCTAGTCTATAGTCCAGTCTATAGTCTAGTCTATAGTCTAGTCTATAGTCTAGTCTATAGTCTAGTCTATAGTCTAGTCTATAGTCTAGTCTATAGTCTAGTCTAGTCTATAGTCTAGTCTATAGTCTAGTCTTTAGTCTAGTCTACAGTCTAGTCTATAGTCTAGTCTATAGTCTAGTCTATAGTCTAGTCTACAGTCTAGTCTATAGTCTAGTCTATAGTCTAGTCTATAGACTAGTCTAGTCTATAGTCTAGTCTATATTCTATTCTATAGTCTAGTCTATAGTCTAGTCTATAGTCTAGTCTATAGTCTAGTCTATAGTCTAGTCTATAGTCTAGTCTATAGTCTAGTCTATAGTCTAGTCTATAGTCTAGTCTATAGTCTAGTCTATAGTCTAGTCTATAGTCTAGTCTATAGTCTAGTCTATAGTCTAGTCTATAGTCTAGTCTATAGTCTAGTCTATAGTCTAGTCTATAGTCTAGTCTATAGTCTAGTCTATAGTCTAGTCTATAGTCTAGTCTATAGTCTAGTCTATAGTCTAGTCTATAGTCTAGTCTATAGTCTAGTCTATAGTCTAGTCTATAGTCTAGTCTATAGTCTAGTCTATAGTCTAGTCTATAGTCTAGTCTATAGTCTAGTCTATAGTCTAGTCTATAGTCTAGTCTATAGTCTAGTCTATAGTCTAGTCTATAGTCTAGTCTATAGTCTAGTCTATAGTCTAGTCTATAGTCTAGTCTATAGTCTAGTCTATAGTCTAGTCTATAGTCTAGTCTATAGTCTAGTCTATAGTCTAGTCTATAGTCTAGTCTATAGTCTAGTCTATAGTCTAGTCTATAGTCTAGTCTAGTCTAGTCTATAGTCTAGTCTATAGTCTAGTCTATAGTCTAGTCTATAGTCTAGTCTATAGTCTAGTCTATAGTCTAGTCTATAGTCTAGTCTATAGTCTAGTGTATAGTCTAGTCTATAGTCTAGTCTATAGTCTAGTCTATAGTCTAGTCTATAGTCTAGTCTATAGTTTAGTCTATAGTCTAGTCTATAGTCTAGTCTATAGTCTAGTCTATAGTCTATTCTTTATTCTAGTCTATAGTCTAGTCTATAGTCTATTCTTTACTCTAGTCTATAGTCTAGTCTATAGTCTAGTCTATAGTCCAGTCTATAGTCTAGTCTATAGTCTAGTCTATAGTCTAGTCTATGGTCTTTCTATAGTCTAGTCTATAGTCTAGTCTTTAGTCTAGTCTACAGTCTAGTCTATAGTCTAGTCTATAGTCTAGTCTATAGTCTAGTCTACAGTCTAGTCTATAGTCTAGTCTATAGTCTAGTCTATAGTCTAATCTATAGTCTAGTCTATAGACTAGTCTAGTCTATAGTCTAGTCTATAGACTAGTCTAGTCTATAGTCTAGTCTATATTCTATAGACTAGACTATAGACTAGACTATAGACTAGACTATAGACTAGACTATAGACTAGACTATAGACTAGACTATAGACTAGACTATAGACTAGACTATAGACTAGACTATAGACTAGACTATAGACTAGACTATAGACTAGACTATAGACTAGACTATAGACTAGACTATAGACTAGACTATAGACTAGACTATAGACTAGACTATAGACTAGACTATAGACTAGACTATAGACTAGACTATAGTCTAATCTTTAGTCTAGTCTATAGTCTAGTCTATAATCTAGTCTATAGTCTAATCTATAGTCTAGTCTATAGTCTAGTCTATAGTCTAGTCTATAGTCTAATCTAGTCTATAGTCTAATCTATAGTCTAGTCTATAGTCTAGTCTATAGTCTAGTCTATAGTCTAGTCTATAGTCTAATCTATAGTCTAGTCTATAGTCTAGTCTATAGTCTAGTCTATAGTCTAGTCTATAGTCTAGTCTATAGTCTAGTCTATAGTCTAGTCTATAGTCTAGTCTATAGTCTAGTCTATAGTCTAGTCTATAGTCTAGTCTATAGTCTAGTCTATACTCTATTCTTTACTCTAGTCTATAGTCTAGTCTATAGTCTAGTCTATAGTCTAGTCTATAGTCTAGTCTACAGTCTAGTCTATAGTCTAGTCTATAGTCTAGTCTATAGTCTAATCTATAGTCTAGTCTATAGACTAGTCTAGTCTATAGTCTAGTCTATATTCTATTCTATAGTCTAGTCTATAGTCTAATCTATAGTCTAATCTATAGTCTAGTCTATAGTTTAGTCTATAGTCTAGTCTATATTATATTCTATAGTCTAGTCTATAGTCTAATCTATAGTCTAGTCTATAGTCTAGTCTATATTATATTCTATAGTCAGTTTTGTCGCCTCTTTTTTATGTAAGCTACGTAAGCGATTCTAATTGTTTTCAATTAAATTTTAGGATTTAATACTGAACTTGAATCAAAAACTGAAGATGTTAATGATTCCATACAAGAATTACAATCTAAAACTGATGATATTAATGATTTCATTCAAGAGGTAAAATAAAAGATTTTACAGTTTAACAATGCTAATATTAAATTATTTTTAGGATTTCGTAAATTTAATAGAGATCGACGAGGAGGTGGATAAAGAAATGTATCCATCATCGTCTAAATGGAACCCTACAATATTAAAGGAAAAGGTTTCAAGTAAACTTAATACAAAAAAGTTTAATCAACGAAAAACCAAATTAGAAGATGAAAAAATAAAACTAATAAAGATACAGCAGGATTTTTATAGGGATGAAAATGCCAGAGCTGCTGAAAAGCACAAGCTCGAAATGGAAAAATATCAAAACGAAATTACATCAATAAGATTAAAAAATGAACTTATCCAAAATGAAATAAAAGAGAAAAAACAACGCATCTGATCATTTGTATATTTTTATTTACATTGTGAATTTGTTAATTAAATATTCGCAATAAATGATTTATAAACTCAAATAAAATTTGTAATATAAGTTTTATTAGACCAAAATATATCAAAAAAATACTACTACCTTGCAAAATAACTGTTTATTAAAACGGTTCTGGCATTTGAATTTCTATTATTTGCATTTTCATGAACTTCGTTATCATTTTCAATAATTTCATTACTAATGTCGGGATGTTCTTCAAGAGGAAGGGGTTCTTTTCGTTGAGTACTTCTATTGTGAAGTACCGCACAGGCAACGATAACAGTCATTGCAGTGTTAACAGCTATTCGCATCCCCATTGATAAATTTGGAAATCGACGTTTCCATACTCCAAAACATCTTTCAATAACGTTACGAGTTCTTATTTGTGACTCGTTATACAACTTTTCACAATTTGTTATAGGGTTAAGCAGTGGTGTCATCATATAGTCACATACCTTGTAACCACTATCACCCAAAATATAGGTGTTTTTAAATTCTTTATTCTCAAGTCTAAATTTTAAACGGCTGTTATTAAATATTGTGCTATCATGGGAAGATCCGGGCCACCTTGATACAATGTCTTGAAAAATAAGTTCATTGTTGCACACAGCCTGAACGTTAATGGAAAAATATCCTTTTCGATTTCGAAAAAGTTCTGCATTATCACCACCAGGAGATTGTATGCGAACGTGAGTACAATCGATCGCACCAATTACTTTCGGAAATTTTGCAGTTTTATAAAACTCATTAATATTTTTTTGCATAGCATCGAATTTAATAAATTCGCTAGATAGTGAAGCAATTGCTTGTGAAGCATCTTTAACTGCTCGACCTGCTGATGATATACTCAGTCCACAAAAATCGGCCACAGTTATTAAAAAACTACCACTAGCGTAAAAACGCAGAGCTAACAAAAGTTTGGTTTCTGGTGATAATGCAAAATTTCTTTAAAAAAAATATTAACCACATTATCACTGAATTATGCTATTTCTCACCTTTCCGTTTTAGATAATAGTTGTTTGCTAATCCTGCTAAGGATATATTTACATGTTGACTTGGAAATTCGGAACCTCTTTCTAAAATTATCTTCATCCATATCCTCAAGGTAGTTTGGTCTATTTTTATAGATTCTCTCAGCATTTTCTTGAGGCTGAATCTCTTCAAATTCCTCTTCCATTGAGATTAATTCAAAAACTCTGCTGTTCATTATTTTATTTTTATTTGTGGATATAAAAAATTTTTTGTTTTTTAAAACTGAAAAAAGTAACAGTTATGTCAATTTATTGTATCGATAAATTATTATGATGTATGATGAGTTCCGGTTAGCATTTCACGATAGTATAAATAATAAAATTTTATTGAGAAAACAAAATTGCGCTGACAGGCAGTATATCGTTCCGAAAAACGATAACCAGAGATTGAGATTATGGGCCTAAAACTTTTAAAATTAATTCAGATTGTCAATTTAATCAAATGAAATTTATGTGTTATTTTTTTTTATTTTTCCGCCACTTTTTGTTACATTTATAATCTATATATAGCTGTTTAGCTGTCTATAAAGTATAAACAAACAAACATACAAACACACATTCATTTATATATATATATATATATATATATATATATATAGCCAGCTAAACCGATTTTTCTGGAATTTTCAGTCTCTTCCTGTATGTCTCAAAGGAACTATAGGCTACTTTTTACTTCAATATTTTAAGTCGGCGACGTGCCACGCCCACATACAAAATAAGTATTCAAAGTCGCATATCTCAGAATCTGCTAGAGCTACAGTCCTCAAATTTTGTATGCAAAACTTTGACATCCATATGAACACATGAGAATAAAATGAGCACCCTAGCTATAGTGGGCGTGGCACCACCCATATAAAGGTAATCCTAAATTAGTATATCTGAGAAAATATAACAACTAGAGTCCTCATTTTTTTCGGAGGAACTTTAGTATCAAATTAAATGTTTAGGACATAAAATGTGCGGACTAGCTAAAGGGGTCCAACTCCCATATGAGATATATATTAAAATTCGTTGATCTGGGAAACTATTAATCTTATTTTTTCAGACCTTTAACATCCACGTCAGGGATGGCAAATTTGGTACGGTGGTACTTTTTTTGATACTATTTGATGTTCAAAAGTACCGTGATACTTCCGAGTCTTATTTGATACTCTCAGGGCCAGTATCTCAACCTCCGGTTATCGTTTAACAGGTGGATATACTGCCGGTTAAAATAATTTTTGTATGTAAAATGTCAATTTATCGTTATGATAAAACATAATCACACAATGAGAAAATGGGGGTCAAAGTAGCTTTAAAAGTTCAAATTTGAAATTCTAAGAATGTTTTGAAATCTCGTTTTAAAAGCCACTTTTTAGAAGTATGTTTTGCAAATAACCAATGCAGCTCATTTCGAATTTTTATCTTCATTGACATTATATGAATATTAATCTAATTAAATTCCATTGTTAATATTATATGAGAAAATTACCAAAAATTTCAATTTTGAAAAAATATTTGACTTTAAAACAAATTATTTCCAAATGATAGAAGCTCGAAGGACTCAATTTCTATCTAATATAAAACGATATGTTTTGAAATTAAGAATTCAACCATAGATAATAAGAGAAATTTTTGGTGAAAATTATTTGGACTTTAAAGCAAATTATTGTTTCATGTCATGGATGGTCTTATGTATGGTCTCATGTGTAGAATTTGATATGACTATTGATTTTTTAACAAATAAACACCTACATATGTACATCGAATTTTAATTTAATAACACATATGTATATTAGGGTGGCCCAAAAATGGAAATTGCTGATGTTCCCACCGAAAATGAAAATTTAGTTCATTCTAAGATACCATTTCTCAAAATTGTTGTCCTGACGTCAATATTTGGGGAGCTGGATCAAAGGATAAAAAGGTCCTTTTTAGGGTTTTTATGTAATTTTTTCATATTTTTGACAAGTAAACCATATGCAAATTTAGTATCATATGAAAGGTCCTTGGGAGACGATTTCAATGACATACACAAATTTGTATACAACACCAGAATGATTACAAATGTCGTAATTTTTCAGAAAAATTGTAAGTTTTTCATATTTTTACATAGAAATATATAATGTAATTAATTGAAATTATTATATTGTAAACCTCACCTCACCTAAATTTCACCGAAATGGTCTTTTCTGTTTTTCGAAATTCTTTATGTTTTGTATTTTATCTTAATATTTTAAACTCTATTTTGTCCCAGGTATTCTGTTAGCTTTATTTATCTAACATACTTAATATGTACATCAGCATACGCGTAATTAGCTTTACAATGGTATATAACACTTTATGGTTTCATTCTATTATCAATCAAATTTTTCAGTTTAACTAACATAGTAACACAATTTATCCTAAATATCTACTTGTTTATTACGCTTGCTTTGTAAATATAAAATAATTATAAATATAAATAAATAAGTTGAATTTCTAAATTCATCCTTGAGTAGGGCCAAATGTGGCCTGAATTTCTTTAAGACAGAATTTATTAAAATATAACAAATTGTATCATGACTGATTTTAATATACATATTTACGAAGTACAATATCTGGGTAATATTTGTATGGTAGCTATATGATACCATGGACATTGAAGTTCATCAAATTATATCTAAAAGGTTAACATTGATCGATTCAGTTTTTCAGTTTTTCGGTCTTAAAACCGGTTTTTTCTGATTTACCAGAGTCGGTTTTTTCTAAATGTTGATTTTTTTCGAATATCGAATAACCCGGTTTTTTATCTTTTTAAAAGCCGGTTTCGAATACTTTTATTTGCTTTGTATTCATAGATTACTTCAATTAAATTTTGAAATAAATAATAATACAGCCTGCCTATATTTTAAAATATTCGAGTCAAGAAACTAGAGTATATTTTTCTAAAGCACCTTTGGTTAAACTTTTTTGATTGGAATAACTGTTGGATAAAATTTTATCAATCTTAAGATTATATTCCAATTACAATAATTAATTTGCCGCTGAAATATTATAGCAGTGTTGGAATGCCTATGAAAATTTACTAAACAGGGACTTTAGAATAAACTAGGATTATGATTCTTCCCAATTTTTTACATTAAAGAAATAATGTTTATTTAAAAAATCAGTTCGGGTCATAATTTTTTTTCAAATTAAACTAGATGTTTTTATTTACATTTTAAAATGGCAACACTTCGAACTACTCGAAAACCGGTTTCTGGAAAATGTCGAATAATCGATCACCCTACGGTATATATAATACCTTTTCTACTTCTGTTGTTGATTATTTAAAAATGTCTAAATATGTGAAGGTGTATTTAAAAAATTAACAACTTTCAGCAAAAAAAAATATATATTTTAGTACTCTAAGATCCAAAAAGTACCCTCTGAAATATTTTTTGATACTGAAACAAAATCTCATTTTCCATCCCTGATCCACGTCAATATTTATGAGAAAAATGGGTGGACTTTCATAAGTGGGTTTTGGTACCTCCTATACGGATCTATATGTATAAAAATGATTGTATGTTTGTACGTTTATTTATTTTTTTGTTTGTTTGGACTTTATAGACAGCTAAACTGCTGGAGCGATTTTTCTGAAATTTTCATAGTGTTTTCCTGTACGTCTGGAAGGAACTATATGCTACTTTTTACTTCAAAATTTCAAGTGGGCGACGTGCCACGCCCATTTACAAAATAAGTATTAAGAGTCGCTTATCTCAGAAACTGTAAGAGCTAGAGTCCTCAAATTCTGTATGGACAACTTTAACATCCATATGAATACATGGAAATGAAATTAGCAGCCTAGCTACAGTGGGCGTGACACCTCCCATATAAAGAAAATCTTAAATTAGTATATCTGAGAAAATATAACAGCGTTCTCATTTTTTTCGGAGGAACTTTAGTATCAAATTAAGTACAAAAATTCGTGTATCTGAA